TATATATTTAATTTAGAGAGAGAGAGTGCGCTAGCGGGGGGGAGGGAGAGGGACAAGCAAACTCTGAGCTGAGCACAGAGCCCAAGACAGGGCTCGAGCCCAGGACCCTGAGATCATGAACTGAGCCGAAATCAAGAGTTGGATGCTCAACCAACTGAGCCACCCAGGCGCCCCTGAAGATCTTGTTCTTTGATAGTATCATGGCCAAGTGACCTCCTCTGAGATCAGCAGGTGTGGCCTGGGCCACATCCAGATTTCTCTTGGGGAAATCTGCCAAAGCACCACAGATCTTGTGACTCAGAGTCAGAGACTCAGATAAAGTGGACAGGGATTCCTTCCCCATTTCCAAATCCCAGAAGTAACTGTCCTTTACCTCTAGTCGGTGACTTTTTTTAAAGATTTTATTTATTTATTTGACAGAGATAGCAAGAGCAGGAACACAAGCAAGGGGGAGTGGGAGAGGGAGAAGCAGGCTTCCCACACAGGAGGGAGCCCAAGGCAGGGCTCAATCACAGGACTCTGGGATCATGACCTGAGCCAAAGGCAGACGCTTAGTGACTGCACCACCCAGGTGCCTCTAGTCAGTGACTTTTTAAAGAACATCTCACACACTCAACTCTTCCACTTTTACCTTCTCTTGAATTTCTAGTGACAGAATCAGGGTCTTTAGGGCATGTTTTATTTTTAAATTCTTTATTGTCATTCCTGACATCATCACCTAGCCCAGTCTCCAATATTGTCAGTGTCTGGCATATTTTCCCATCAGAGCTTTTTTGGGTAACGGGTGGGTGGCTAAATGTTGTTGGGTTTTGCTTCCTGTTCTTTGTTGGCAGGAATCCTAGAGATTGGTATAGTAAATAAATTCAGGTCATGAACCTGGTTTTGGCCCTTTGCAGTTTCACGGTTTGGAGGGGAGAGAAGGTGGCTCTATTAGCCCAGGAGAGTAGGAAAGAAGTAGGAAAAGAAGTTGGCTGGAACAAGAAATCAAATTTCCAAATCTACCAAAAAGTAGCTGAGAAACCTCAGCCAGAGATTATTCACTCATGTCCCAAATCTTCTACAAAAAAAATAGTTTTTCCCCCAAACAAATGTCACCCTCATTCTGGCTGCACAGTGTGATGAAGCCACCTTAGGAGGCAGTCTGACTGGAGAAGCGAGACTGAGCAGGTGCCCTTCTCATCCCCCCCAGTCCCACTTCGTTAGGCAGGACGGTACAGATAGCACACAATTACTCACACGTGGAACTCAAAAGCCCAGGGTGGAAAACCCTCTTCAGGTGTAGAGTTCCAACAACTTCAGAAATCTGTTCCTTCTCACTTCTTCACCCTCCTTTGTCTTGACTAGCTTCTTCCTCAGGCTCACTCTCTCCTCACAATGACCTAGGTTTACCTTCAAGCAGCTCCACAACCTTCTGTAAAGAACATGCTTCCGGTGCTCGCTTCGGCAGCACATACACTAAAAAAAAAAAAAAGAACATGCTTCCTTCTGAGTTGTTCCAGGAAAGATACCTATTGGCCAGGCCTAGGTCACATGTCATCACTGAACCAATCACTGTGGACAAGCCTGTGTGCTTTGATTGGCCAGGTCTAGGTCATATGCCTCACTTCCTGGTTCATGGGGGTCTATTTTGAGAGTGAGCCCCTCCTCAAATGTTGTGCCCTAGGCTCCCCACTCATCTCACCATAGTCCTGACCTTGGATGCTAGGCAAGCAAAAGACTAAATACTCATTATACCCATATTCAAAAATATCTCCCAGAGTGCCTGAAATCCATCCCCCTCTCCATTAGAGATTTATTTCTTTGGATAAGCCAGACATCTCCAGGAATCCTTCAGTTTTGTTTTGTTTTTCAAAAACACCTAGAGGGCAAATGTTTAAGTCAACTAGAGTTTCCCAAATACATGCTAACTATATACTATCAAGTTAGTCACCTCTAGAGCCAGCCCCCTTGATAATGTGTGATGCACTGTAAGGAAAGGCCTTGGGGAAGAGGGAGGAGTGGTCGAGACCCGCACAGAAAACGGCCCCTTAAGAGGAGAAAAACGACAAAGAAAAGGAGATACAAGGTTAAAGGCATACTTTCATTCAATCATTTAATACTGGCACTAGGCCTACTTCATCAGTTTTCCCAAGTTCTACCACATAGAGAAATGGAGAGAGCAGGCTGGCAAGGGAGGACATGGGAGAAGAGACTCAGGGCAGAGTAAACGTGGACATTTCTAAACAGGAATGTTTGGGTGTGCGAAACATCTGGGAAAGCTTACCTGGAGTTCTGATGATAAGCTTTCAGGAGAAGGATGAATTCTGCCAACAGCAAAGCCTTGGGTCTTCAGGTTGCTGGCATCTTTGAAAGTTTAATTTTTTAATTTTCCTGACAATAAGGGTTTAAGGAAAGACTAGGAGAGTTATGAATTTTGTGTCCCTCCTAGGACCAAAGGAAAAATCAATCTTTAAACCGCAAGATAAATAAGTCAAGCACCTCTTAAGTTTAGTACTAATAAAGACAATTTCTTCTATCCTTCATATTCTAGTAATTTCATCTTCCCTTTCTGGGACTCTGGTTGCCTTTGGCAAAGAAAAGAGCTTACATAACTGAAATACATCTGCTTCTCATAAAAATTGGGTTTTTAAAATTTTTTGCCCACCTGAAAATAAGTATAAAAGCAATGATTCTGTTATTAGTTGGAGGCTGCATTTGGGAATATGATTGGCCATATGTCGACTCATGAATCCAAACACCACTCAGAAACCAGCGTGACCTGGTCCACAGACCCAGCTACATGCTCCTGATGGCAGATATGTCACCATGGTGTCAGTGGTGGATGGCTAGATGCCAGCGACCTTGGGATCTGATAACTCACTCCCCCATTTATAGAGCAGACTTCTGCATCAAATGGCTTCCTCAGGACGTGTCTCCAGGGAAAGAATGTGATGGCTAGAACGTTCGGTGCCCTCAGCAACTGTATTTTCACAGTAATTATTTCCTTTATATTCCATTGACAACTAACAGATCAGCATTCTGGTTGTAAGTGTTAAGTTCAGTGTGCTAAGAATCAAGTTTCTGTGCCCACAAGGCTTAAAGCCAGATGCTAGCCCAGGAGCAAGTCACCCAAACCCTGTTGCTCAACCATGAGGCCTCTAAGGGACACACCAGGAGGCCTTCTTTCCTAGTTGCACCCCTTTCTCTTACCTTGTCAGTCTTCAGGCTGGAAAAATTGATGCTATAACATCAATGAATACCTTTTTAAGTTCTTCCTCGTCCCAAGAATACTATCAGATGAACCTTTTACAAAATATAATTGACAGTAGGTTTATTAATGAGTGCTATAAATACTGAGTACCTATTATAAGCAAAGCACTGTGCTAGGTGTGGTGGAGAATCCCAGGCTGAAAAGGATAGGGTGTCAGCCCCCGAGCTTGCAGTCCAGGAGAGGACATATAGACACAATAACTTTCTCAAGAGGCAAACCGTTCTAACTGCTGTATTGGAAGTATCAACTACACTGTACGGAGAAAGGAAAGTTTAATTGCAAGGACAGGCTCAGAGGAGTCTTCTTGGAAGATGTGAGGTCCGAGCTAACGCCACAAGATACTCTGGGGAGAGCAGCAATTCAGACAAAGGAAGGGTTGGTTCAAAAGTGCTGGGAACAGGCCTCCATGTGGCTGAACATCTGGGTCTTGGCAAGTATGCCATGGAACTTAAGACCAGATGGCTGGGCAAGAGCCAGACTGGGAGGACTCTAGGTTCTAAACTGCAGAGTTTGAGAGTGCAGAGGTGCTTTGCCCCATAGGTTATCATGATGAATTAAATCTTTAAACCCCTTATAGCTATAGCTTTTGAGCTTCTCCTATACAGAAAGACATATCAATCCAATCGCATAATTATATATACTATTATTCAATATTATATAGATATATATCAACAATAAGGTATCCGCGTCATTATCCCTCCCTTTCGTTTGGCTTCTTTTGATTTAATCTACCTAAATTAAAACCTCCAAATTCAAGATCACCCGTTATGGGCCCCAGGAGAACCCAAGCCTTCCAGACAGAGGGGGAACGATGTCAACCTCTTAGGCTGAACTGAGACAAAATGGCAACCAGAGAAATGGCTGGAAGCCTAGACCAGGTAGTGTTTTCTCAGCCACTAAGAGCTGTCTGGCTCCTTCAGGAGAGGGATCCTCCTCAGCCTCTCTCAAATTCCATCTGCCTGGAATGCACAGATTCCAAGGACTCTGGGGAAAAACCCTTGAAAACTCCCGCAGGCTGATACCATTCAGCAACATCTGCAGCAACCGCCGCGGTAGAGCACCGGAAGTTTTGGTTCTTCCAGTTGCCCGGGATTCCCAGTTTGAACTCTTCTGGGAAACGCTTTCTTCACCGCTTATCTTGCGAAATCTAGCGGGTCCTCCCCTCCGCTCTCTCGGGCCTCTTATACCCGCGAGAGGCGCCACCCGCAGCCCTGAGCGGAGCTGCAGCTGACCGTGGCCGCCTCGCCTCCCAAGCACTTCCCAGCAGGTGGGTCCCGTCGCCGGCTGTTGCCTCGTACCTTTCGCCACGCTGCCCCGCTGCCTTATCCGCTTCAGCGCTGCTTGAGCCCCCGCTTCCAGGACCTCACACCCCCGCCAGCTCGCACCAGCAAGGAGGTGCAGGCAAACTCCCCGCCGCGCCCCCGCGCCCCTCTCCAGGAGAGGCCATTCAAGGGTGTCGCGCGATCAGTTAAGCAATTCAGCAAGCATCCAGCTTCCCGGAGTTTTATCGCTCATGTCTTCTCGAGGGTGCAGAGAAACCCGAAGGTGGAAGACTTAGGGTTTGTATTCCTCTCTGTCCCTTAATTCTCGACGAGAGCAATCTTGTGACGCTCACCGTGAAGGGAGCCTGGAAGAATGTGGTTTTGGCAATCTCCGCAGTCTCAGACCTTCACCAAGAGCTGAAATTTGTCCTGAGACCTGCAAGCACTTCGGTCCTTGACCTTGATTTAAATTTCCTTCTGTAATTTCGCGATTGCTTTTCCAGAGAAATATTGTTTGAAATGTAATTTATTGTGAAGAATAGACATAGTCTGGTTTCCCTGTTTGTCCAGAAGCAGCTAGAAAGTTTTTTTTTTTTCCTCCTGATGGTAATGTAGGAACTTTTTAAAAAGATGACCGGTGTAATGAAGGTGAATTGGATGGAGAATAGGCGAGAAAGGTGGAGAATTCTACTCCTAGTTCTAACTAGCAGCTCACCACCTCACCCTCCGTTTCCACATATGTAAAATAAAAGGCTACTGGACCAGATGATCCACAAAGTCCAACACTCTAACTCTAACAAGGTGAAAATCCATGACCAAATATGCTTGCTGGTTTGAAATCTATTGAAAATCTCATTAATGCAATAAGCATAACCAAGTAATTGCTTTCTTCATAATAATGCAAGCTTCATTTTTATAGGGATACTACCCAGTCGTGGAGCATCTCTTCCCACACAAGTATCTTAGACTTCTACCACATTTATCATTCAGAGAATATTCTCGGCTTTCAAAACCATTCTTCAGCCGTGCTGTGTGAGAATGTCCTATTCCCTATAAATGGCAGTCATATAAATGTCACTCACATGAAAGAACATTTTTTCTGATACAGTAGGTGTAATTTTTATAAAATGGCACATTTATTTGAAGCAGTAACTTTTTTGAGATATGGCCTTTTGCAAGGCCCCGAGTTTTTCAGAATGCTGTGATTTAGCACAGGATGAAATTCCACCTGCGTGTATCCTACCTGCATGGCAAACATTGCCAACCCAGAAAACGGGATGGAGCTTTCCCCTATTTATCAGGCTTTAAGGTTGTAAAGTAAATGGTACATGTGTACAGAGAAATTGGGTCATAGCACTTTCTCCATCGGCAACATTTATGGTCCTGCTGAAGTTCACATAGAAACTTCAGGTTCAGAAACCAATGTGTACAAGATGTGACCCCTAACTTGAGAATAATTTCCAGACTTCCTCCTTGCTTAAGCTTGCTAACTGTTGTGAGACGTAACCAAATAAATTTGTATAAGCCTGTTAATAAATTGAAAATCCGGGGCCTTGAGCCTTGTTCTGAACAGTTTTAAGAAAAATAGATTCATATGTCATAAAATTTCAAAATGGAAGCAACCCTGGGCACTCTGCTCTTCCCTGTCTCCTGAAAGACCACCCCTAGTCACTCTACCATTGTTAATGCCATTATTAAAAGGACATAAATTCTTTTAAAGTGTCCCAAGTAGCTGATTATGCAGTCTCCCACAGAAATACAATCCCATGTTACATGATCCTCACCATCTGCTTCTCTTTATAAGTCAGTTGGCTCTTTTGTCAACTGCTGTTTAAAAATCATTTCCTTTTAAAATCTTAAGAAGGCTAATAAGCTATGGTCAAATATATGTACATAATCACCCTTCAAACTTGAAGACTTGCTAGGGTACCTTGTAGCTCATTTCCTCTGGGTTGTCCTCCAAGAAGGAGGTCATTCGTTAAATGCCTGCACCCACATCTACCTATAATTCTTACTGTAAGATTCTACACAGGCTATGAATATGTAGTTTTCTGGGTGGGAGGGTTTTTTTGAAGTTATAGTTCCTCCAGAAATAACAGAAATAAGACTTTACAAATATAAGAGCTCTGAAGTCACCTATTTGACACTGTTCTTTGTAAATCCAAAGAAAATGAGTCATTAGTTAATGATAAAGACTTTCTGAACAGTTCTGTATGATATGTTAAACCTACTCAAGATATTTTGAATGACTTTTAGGACATTTCCAAAATGATCTGAATTAACACTCGTTTTTTTTGTTGACAAGAAATCAGTCCTGGAAGGAATAAAGCCAAGTAACTAAAGGATAATTAATGCTTAAAACAATGCATGATAAGAAAACATACTTGGCCTATATACATAAACAATTTGTTCTTCCAAAATCATTAAGGAAAAGAGAACAAAGAATGCTTGTACTGTTTGAAGACCATCTTTCAGAAATATATCACTAAAAAAAAAAAATGTACTATTCTACAAGAAGTATTTCCACTCTAACTAGGCAGGACATTGACATCCTGATCCAAATGCTTCTCTACAATGTCCCAGAAGAGTTCATTACACCATGTGTGAGAGTTCTTACCACATTGTACTTTGACAGTCACAGATTTCTGAAAGACTTATTTTGAAAGAAATATGTTTCTTTTAAATGTAGACTATATGAGCAATCCTAATGTCAGGCTGAAGTAAAGTCCACTTTTCATCTTAAAAGAAAAAAAAATGTGTGTGAAGGGTAATTTTGAAAAGTTAGGAACTATAATTTTGAAAAAAAAAGAAACCTAAGAGGTAGCAATATGATTATATATCACGCCTCACAGAAGGTTATTAGAACACAAACTAGGTAGTCTCTTTTGCCTCAGCTCCATATACAGAAGGGAAAAAAATAGCAAGGGGCTCCAATCAGGTCTTCAGTGACGATGGCACCAATGCTGGGAATATGAGGGGGACAATTAATGGTCCACACTGATTATGCGTGTTTCATCTAGACCTGCTCCTTTTGAAGAGTGTGGAAATAGCTTTGAATTGTTAAAGTTAAACAGTGGCTGAAGCCATTTTGCACAGACTTTAGTATACTTTCTTGTCCTGTTTCCCAGGTAAATTATTGCCCATTCTTTAACATGGGGTTCACGGTGCACCTTCCTGTGCATGGGTCCTTACACATCGCATTATAGCAGTTTGATTCTGTGTCTACATCGTCCCCAAGACTGGAGCACAGCACAGCACCTGGCACAGAGAGTCTGTTCAAAAAGTTTACTGAAAACATGAAACCCTACCAAGACATTGATCAAACTGATTTTGATTTTGGAATATGCGAACCCTTATGGCTGTAGCAGATTACGAGCCCAGATGCCCCGTGTACTGTACTACTTAAGTCAGAGTGTCCAGATTTCGACTACTTGCCATTGAGGAGAAGCATGAACTTGCTGTGTACTGTACAGTACATATAAAATAAATAGTGCGAATTGTTGTAAGTATTTTTAAAAAGAAGGAAGAAATCTCCAGTTGTGCATTCTTGAGGCATATCTGGAAAATGGGAAGGTATGTGTTTGGGGATGGTAGTACACAAAGAGGCCCCTGTCTCTCTCCCTGAGGGAAGCAGGAGTCTAGAAGGATCAGATTTACAGCCAGCATTGTGTGCATTCCATGTGTGGGGTGGAGAGGGTGTAGGCCCTTTGCTGGGGTAAGAGGGAGTCCACACGGACCCTGTTTTCATTAAAGCCTAGGAGCCTTCTGAGAAGGGAGGCCCCTAAGGAAAGAGATTTAGGCCTAAGGTACAGACAGGACTGGAAAAATGTATTATCCTATCAGCCAAATTATTTTCCCATTTCCCTGGTCACGTGCCATTCTTGGAGAGAGGGGATGAGAGGGAGGGAAAGAGCCAGTGGAGTGCTGGTAAATGGCTCTCTAAGGAAAGAAAAAAAAAAAAGTCCTGATTTGTAGCATTTGCTGATTTCCGTGGCGTGCAAACTCCCACCCATGGCTGAGTTCAAGCCCTCACCTGGCAAGCCAGTCTCTAGCCATACCACTGAAAAGAGCTGAGATTGAAAACCAAGGAATTTAAAAGAAGGAGCTGTCTCATTAAAAAAATACTTTAAACTAGCACAGCTCTCATGCTTGTATGTCAGAGTATAACACAAGGAAGGGGGAGGGAGTTTTAAGGGCACTTTGTCCCCTGGGGTAAGACAAGGAGAGGCTGCAAGGCCAGATCCTGCCCTGAAGCTCAAGCTGATCAGTCTTGGCAAACATTAGAGGCATTATGGCCACTGGGGAGTCCTTGCCTCTCACAGCCAGCTTAGAAATAGAAGAAAATGATACCCCAAAGATGAAGGAGACTATATTCCTAAGAATGTGTAAATCACTCCCAGGAGATTTCTTTCTTTCTTTTTTTTTTTTAGATTTATTCATTTATTTGAGAGAGAGAAAACACATGCACTGAAGAGCCAGGGGAGGGGCAGAGGAAGAGGAAGAGAATCTCAAGCAGACTCCACGCTGAGCACAGAGCCCAAGGGGGTTATGGGGGGGAAGCAAAGTCTTGATCTCAGTACCCTGAGGTCATGACCCAAGCGGAAACCAAGAGTTGGACACTCAACCAACTGAGCCACCCAGGTGCCCCACCCCAGAAGATTTCTAAAAATCGGTAAGAAGATAGATAATATGAAGCAGAATGGAGTTTCATCAGCAGGGACTTTAGAGTGGGATCAGATCCACAGCAAAACTCCTCTACCCCTAAACTAATTTGGCAATTATCAATATTCATATAATTCTCAGTGGCCTCAATATGAAGATAAATGACTATTCATAGGAAATTTACTGAAACAAAGTTCATTCAAAACTGAAATGATCAGGGGCACCTGGGTGGCTCAGTTGGTTAAGTCTGCCTTAGGCTCAGGTCACCATCTCCAGGTCCTGGGATCGAGCCCCAAGTAGGGCTCCCTGCTCAGTGGGGAGTCTGCATCTCCTTCTCCCTCTG